TTCAAATAAAACCTATTCCATACTTTTCCTCGATAAACACAACGTCCACTTGTATTTCACATATACAATTGGTTGCAACCTTGCAGGTAGTTACAGAGCAATGTGTTATAGACGATCATTGACCTTACCTACAAAGTAAGGACATCAAGAGATGACAAATATAATGTATTCACTTTAAACCACTGTATCTCTTGAAGTACATGTACATGTCCAATTTTGATGGTGACGTCATGACGTGTCAAGTCACATGACATTAAAGGTACACTCTTTAAAGCACCGTATCTCGTTACATACATGTCTGATTGGGTTCAAACCTCGCAGATATCTGGAAAGGGGAGTTCTTTAGATGAGCAATAACCTGATGGGATGATGACGTCATCAGGAGACAAATCACGTGACATTACAGATGCTCTCTTTAAAGCACAATATCTCTTGAAGGACATGACATTGGTTTGAAACTTAGAGTATAGCTGGAAAAGGAAGGGTTTCAGACCGAATTTGACCTGATATCACGTTGACATCATCGGGTGACAAGTCTCGTGACATTAAAGGGACACTCTGTGAAGGACTTTATCTCCTGAATTGCATATGCCATTGGGTTCAAACATTGTTGGGATCTTGATAGGGAAGTGTTGAGATGGATATTGACCTCATGTGATGATGTCGCCATCAGGTAGTACATGTAGGTGACGTGATATTAGAGGTGTAATGTACAAAGCACTATATCTCCTTACTTGCATGTCGTATTGTGTTCAAACTTCGCTTATATCTTTAAAGGAAAGTGAATAAGGCAAAAAATATTAAATGCATGTGAAGATGGCATCATCAGGTAAGAAATCACGTGACAGTAAATACATTCTTTAGAGCCCTATATCTTGTGATGTAAATGTCTGATTGGGTTGAAAATTGGTAGGTAGCGAGAAATGGAAGTGTTTCAGACGACGTGAAGTATTGTTTACGGTGCACAGTTTATTCTCCATATCTTCTAATATCCGAAAGGGGTAACGCATTTTGTCATTATGACGTTACCAAAGAAAATACTAGAATTAATTTTTTTAAATCTTTGTAGTTCTTGGGTAGATCTTTGAGCAAAAAGTGAGAAATGGAAATATCTTCTAATATCCGAAAGGGGTAACGCATTTTGTCATTATGACGTTACCAAAGAAAATACTAGAATTAATTTTTCTAATCTTTGTAGTTCTTGGGTAGATCTTTGAGCAAAAAGTGAGAAATGGAAATGAGCTAGTATCTCAAATTAACTGTAGGGGGCTCACTTATGAATAATTCGATTAGGCCGTTCCTTTCTTGCCAGCGGATTGGCTCGTAAGCCTGTCATGCGGTAGTTATGGAAAGTTTCTGGAAAGTTGCCAACGTGCACAGCCATAGGGCAACTGTCATGGGAAATCAAGTGTATTCCCTTCCAAACTTGCCTCCCCAGGGTGAGTTGTCTATCTCCACAATGATTGTAGATGTCGTTGAGCCTATTACTTTACCCACACACCTAGTAATTGCTGTATACTTTTTGCTCAAAATGTGTAACAGAAATCCTTGTCCGTTTGCTCACGGAGGAATAAAAACACAACACATGCATAACATACATGTACATACACAGTATACGTTGTATTAGGATAATGCTCATGGCCGTATGTGTACAGGCATTAACAGTATACAGCTGATCTTTGACATTTCATCGATCGACATGGAAGTGAAAAGCAAGTGCGTTGTATTTTTGACAACGAAGTGAACAATAGCAGTGTTCATACATTTTTATGGCGTCTAGGAGCCAGTCTTAGGAATCATTTGAATGAGTACTGTGTATTTATATACTTTGATTAAAGGCCTTCTTAGGTAATCCGCAGACCGCTGACCGATGAGCTTCTGACCATTGTTGTCAGTGTGTTTGACCGCTTTTTGTCATCAATTGCGTTGCGTTAGTACTGGGTGAGTTCTTGTGATATGTAAAATACCAAATTGTAATCATTTGTAATTATTTCTAAGCTGCGTGCACATAATGATGGCTTTCATAGAAATATGGAACAGTAATTTACTGGTTTGATTGCCTTCTGTTGCGTTCCCGGGTTTCTTTTTCCTGTATTTAAATTTGTCACTGACGTTCAGCTGAGACAAATCAACAACTGAAGCAGCTCAACTAAAGTGGTCGTGTCATATCATCATTTAAACGAGGAGTTCTCTGCAGTGGTACGTCACTTCACCCCCCTTCTGGGACTTGCCCATAGGACCACTTGAAACTGGCAACATCCCGTCAACCGACCCCCATCATTACAGGTAAAAAAGTGGCATAGTCGGCAGGATACGAAAACTCCTTAGTTTAACCTTCTATTTCTGGTTTTGTGCTCTTTTTAATATTTGTATGTTATAACCTAGCACCATATAGACTTGTTTTTGGCCTTGTTGTTGAAAAAAGGTACATTAGTAACTTGAGATTTTCAGAAGTTCCTAATATGCCATATTGTAAATAGGACTGAGTCCGGATCATGGCTGATGCAGACAGTTTAGCTGAGGTGATAGACAACACCCCGTCAACCGACTCCATCATTACAGAACTGATGCTTTTTTCCTAATAAAAAAATGTGAAAAAGCCCTCTGCTCTGTCCTTAAGACAGACAAAGCCTCTAGTTTTCTTTTTATATTGAAACTATTTTAATAACGGCATTTAGTTCCAGAGGAGTAGTACTTTTAATCCACATTTTCTTCTTTGTTTTATATGAAACTACATTTGCAACCAGTTTTGGTAGTTTAACGACTTGTTCTTGAAAATTCAAGTGCATGTAGTGTGTTGTGCACACTCACAAAATAATTTTCTATGTACTTAGCTAGAAACAAAGACACTCATGGAACTGGATACTAAAACGAGAGGTCATCTGTCTGTTTGCCAACAGAACAGAGGGCTTTTTCGCATTCTTTTGTACATTTGAATAATCAAGGCATCATTATATCAAGTCATTTTTCGCATGTAATACCTCTCTTTCAAGTTATCTGCAAAGTTTCAACCTGATAGAACATGTACTTCAGGAGAAACAGGGCTTTAAAGAGTGCACCTTTAATGTCAGGTGACTTGTCTCCTGATGACGTCATCATCACATAATGCCAATATTTTTCTAAATCAATACCTTTTCACGCAAGATTTGAACCCAATAGGATATCTACTTCAGGAGATATAAGGCTTTAAAGAGTGCACCCTTAATGTCACGTGACTTGTCTGCTGATAACATCATTATCGCATTAGGTCAATATACCTCTAAAGCACTCCCTTTTCAAGACATCTGCAAGATTTGAACCCGATCTGACGTGTACTTCAGGAGAGATGGGGTCTGAAAGAGTGCACCTTTAATGTCACGTGACTTGTCTCCTGATGATATCAAAATGAGGTCAAAATTCCTCTAAAGCACTCCCTTTTCAAGATATCTAAAAGATTTGACCAAATTTGATGTACATTTCAGGAGATATAGTATTTTCATTGAGGCACCATTTAATGTCCCGTGACTCGTCTGCTGATGGTATTGTCATCACCTGAGGTCAATTTCTGTTTGTAAACCCCTCCGTTCCTAAACTGACTGCAAGGTTTCAACCCAATAAGGCATGTACAATACAATATACAACATAAAACATTATACTTAACGCGGAAAAGGCACAGATTAAATATCTTAAAAATTTGTCCCTTTGGCGTTCCATACAATGCGATTCGCTCTCGGCAGCACGTGGTCGGTATTTTGTCAAGTCCCGAGTATAATGCCCTACACACTGTGCGCCGTCTCTGTTGCAGGCAGAGATTGTGCGTCCACACACACACAGTAGCATATGCACAGCATGCTAATGGAGTTTCCGAGCTGGCAATTTCTATTTCAGGGGGTTTTTGTCGGCGGCGCTTCACGTGTGTGAAAAAGTACACCAGTTATGCACAATTCACGCTTATATCGCTCACAGTTGATTTTTTACCGAATTTTGAAGAATAAAAGTTTTTATTTTAAATTCTGGCATGATGACGTCATCAGCCCCAAACTTCACACGTGTTGACTGGGTAAAGATGGTCATGTACATCAATTTTTAGGCGATTCGGACAAACTTCGCAACAGACATCCATTCAAAATTCAGTTTTCGGAATTTTTAACCTGTCATTGAGGGCGCTCGACAATTAGTTGACGTCATCAGTGGATTTGAAGAATACTATCACCCAGCAGACTAACACCGTTGAAAACAACTCGATACCTATTACATGTACCACTTTTAAACAATAAGGACACTTCCGGTTTTGACCGGAAGGAAGGGTCACGTGATTTCACCAACACGAGATGAATTGAATACCACATTTTATCCTGGCACTTGCTGCAAACAGAATGTTGCGGGAGGCCAAGGCCGATTTTTATATGGCTTTGTATAAATTTAACGGAATATTTAAATATTCAAAATTTAATGATAAATCACGTGATGACGTCATCGTGCCGTAAATAATTCAGAATTATCTATGTTTTATATTTAGTATTTGCTGCAAGTTTGACGGCGATCAACAATTCTAAGGTACGAAAATAGTGCCTCAAAAAGTGTACAAAATCAAAGGGCTAAAATAAATTTGTAAAAATCGATAATAAATCACTTGATGGCGTCATCATGCATATGCACAAGGGTTCGTCATTGGTATAAGTTTGATGATGATCCAAAGTTGCAAAAGCACTAAAGTGACCGGTAGAAAAAACGTGTACAAAACAAACGGGCTTTTGAGTGGAAGAAGAAAAAGGAAGAAGAAGAAGAAGCAAAAAAAAAGAACAGAAAGAATCAACAAGTGACAAGATAGGTAGTACGCTTTGCCTGGTTTGTTCAGTCATCTATGTGGCAGCAGCATGGAATTTTGTTGATAAATGTACTTTTATAACAGCCTCACTACCATAGATCTAATGTTGAGCGTTGAACATGATGTGGGGGTGGGGGTCACATTTGCAGTATGGGGGTACATCAAAAGACCAATAGATAATTTCACTGCTTACGGTTTCTGACGACGGTGACCAACAGCTGCCCTTTTGGTGACGGCTCTGGTTGAACATAATATGCTAGAGATAATTCAGCAAAACAATTGGGGTTGAAACACCCCATGCGTTGTATCAGTCATCGATGTAAGTTGGTGGTTAGCCTACTCACTTCAATGTTGCTTCAGACTTAGACAGCTGTAGAGTGCATCAGTTATTTTCCAGTTGGAGTTGGTAGTCTCTATGATGGTAACCAAGGACATAGCAATGCTGAGAGTTAACCATGGCACTGTGCTGTGTCTTGACTGACCTGGACTACACTGTGCATGCAAAAAAAAACGAAACGTGATAAACAGTATCAACTAACATCAAACAAGCCCCCTGATCACCGATTACTGTTGTGCTACTTTCAAGAACCCACAGGCTTATTTCGTTAGAATTGAAAAAAGGTCTGGACAACAGAAATAAAGCAATAGGCCAGACTGGCACCATCGTAATCCTTTTCATGGTCATTTGACGTGACCACATGACGGCAGAGTCAATTTAAACCTATCGTATGTCAAAAATTTCGAAAGAAATGACGTTAAATTGCCACTTAACCGAACCGTAGCTTAGTACATGGGAAATATG